CTATGAGTTGGGATCAACTTGATGGCAGTCAATTTTTTTTTTTTGGTTTATAAGTGCTGACCACCAGTCCTAGCTTGGCATAATATTTACTACTAGCTTGGCATAGTATTTCTCTGATGCCTTGCCCTGGATCACAGGTAAAGGAGTCAAATTAACTTATTTTACTTTCCCAAAGATGCATACACAGATGAAGACCTGATGCTGTATTGGAAGAATGGAGATGAATCGCTGAAAACAGACGAGAAGATCTCCCTGTCTCAGTTTCTGATTCAGAAGTTTCATACTACTTCCAGACTGGCCTTCTACAGCAGTACCGGTAGCTAAGTTTAGCTGTGGTCTGATTCAAATGTAGATGTAGACACATTAGAATTATTCTTCAGCCATAGCTGTTTCCCTCCCAAATAAATAAGTTTTGATTATTAAAATAATGCAAGCTTTTTCAAAATATAAATGTTTAAGAACATAGAGCAGAAAGTAAAGTTACTATTCTCTGAAAACTCATCATCAGAGGTAAACATTCCTAGCAATTTAGTAAACATCCTTACAGATGTCTTGCTTTAATCATGTACTTTCAAAAAAGTGGGGTCCAGCTTTATATGCTATTCTATAACCCAATTTGTTCAGTTTAGCATTATGAAATAGCTGGCTTTCCAAGATAATAAGTACAGATCTATAGATTCATTGTTACTGCTTAGTGTAACTTAGTCTTGTGGGACTGTGGGTCAAGTTTGAAGTTTTGAGAGAATCCATTTGCCAGTTCCTTTCTAATCTCACCATTAGCTCTACAGTGGCTATGGAGCCCTATGGGGCATCGGGCTTCGTTACCCTTTGCCCCAGTACTGAGAAGACCAAGCCCTTCCATGGAAGCTTTCATGATACTGCCCACCCCTGCGTGGTATCATCTCCCAGTTCACCTGCCTCTGCAACATCAAATACCATGGAAAAGAGTGGACCCCAACCAGGATTGGGTGGGTGTTGTGAAAACCCAGGGCTGCTTCTGTTTATATTCACAGTGCTCATCCTCCTCTCTCCATTCTCTCTGACTCTGATATGAGTTGCCACATAATTTTCTTTCTTCATTTATTCTTTTCTCAGTTGCCACTCAGTTGACTCTGACCCATGGTGACCGCATGTATTTCAGAGTAGAGCTGTGCTCCATTGGGTTGTCAATGGCTGACTTTTTCAGAAACAGAGCACCAGGCTTTTCTCCTGAGAGGACTCTGGGTGGACTTAAACCTCCAACCTTTTGGTTAGCAGCTGAGCTAACCACATGCACCACCCAGGGACTTACCCAAGGGTTCCCTTCTATTCTTAGCAAGCTCAAATCAAGTCTCCTTGTGAAGTTACTATTAAGAGTTTCCTATACAAAGTTTAAGGAGCTCTGGTAGCGTAGTGCCTAAGACACTTGACTGCTAACCAGAAGGCTGGTGGTTCAAATCCATCCCCACCAGCCACTCCTCGGAAGGAAGGTTGAGCAATCTACTTCCGTAGTGATACTACCTCAGAAACCCAAGGAGGGGTCGCTATGAGTTGGGTCTGACTCATCAGCACATAACAACAACCACAACAACATATAAAGTTTACTATATGTTGGGCACAATTCTAATGACTTCATGTGGATCAACTAATTTCTACCCAACAAACCTGGGGTATAGATATTATTATCCCCAGTTTACAGATGCAAAAACTGAGACTGAGAGAGATTTAGTTATTTATAGAAGTTATGCAGCTGCTAAGTGGCTAGGCAGTCTACTTGAAACACTGTGTATACTTCCTCTTGGATATTTTCTATATTTGAAAGGTGTGTGTGTTTGTGTTTTTGTTAGGTTGGTTTCATTACCCGTTCAAGCCTTTCTAGAGTCTGGATTAAAATGCTTCTTCCACTTCTATTATTTGCCGTGTACTACACAAGCAAGGAGCTCTGGTAGTGTAGTGCCTAAGACACTTGACTGATAACCAGAAGGCTGGTGGTTCAAACCCACCAGCCACTCCTTGGAAGGAAGATGGGGCAATCTACTTCCATAGTGATACTGCCTCGGAAATCCAAGGAGGGGTCGCTATGAGTTGGGGCCGACTCGATGGCACATAACAACAACAACACAAACAAAGTTTGTCACCCTATACCCCAACCCAGGAGCTGTTATCTCATTGACCTCTATTTAGAACATGGAGTGTTTCCAAGTGTTTCCAGTGTTTCCAAGACAACTCTTTCCTGATTTTTGTAGACAGAAGGAAAGGGTACTGGAAGAGCACTTAAAGGAATAAAGGCAGCTCTCAGATTTTCCAGAAAGACCCTGTGCAAACTCAAGGAACAATGGATGCCAATTTGATGAGGGAAAATAAATGTGTAATATGGGTGAGCTGACCTGATTAGAAGGAGCCCTGGTGGTTAAAGGCTTGGCTGCTAACCAAAAGGTCAGCAGTTAGAACCCATCAGTCAGTCTGTGGGAGATAGATATGGAAGTCTGTTTCCATAAAGATTACAGTACTGGAAACCGTATGGGCAGTTCTCCTCTGTCCCTATAAGGTTACTGTGAGTTGGAATCAACTACACAGCAATGTTTTTTTTTTTTTTATTGTGATTTGGGAGAAAATTCATTTTCCACACAACAGTTCATACACATTTTGTTTCATAACGTTGATTGCAATCATTGCAATCCCTATAATGTAACAGCTCTCTTCCCACATCCTCTCTGTGGTTACCATTTCCCTGTGTCCTTCTTATCTACGCATTCCTGTCCTCTGTGCTGTGTCCCTGTGTAATTATTGTTCTTCTGATCTCTCATGTTGATTGTTCTAAAGATTGTACCTACCTAGTGTAAATGTTCACCTTATATGCCTATCATTTGACTGCAAGCCATGGTAGTGAGTTCAATTCCAAGCCCAAAGGGTGACTAGGGGGCACAGTCTCAGGGGTTTCACTAGTCTCTACCAGACCACGAAGCCTAGCCTTTTTTATGATTTTGAGTTTTTTCCACCTACTCTATCTAGGATCTCCTACACTGATCCCTTTCTAAGTGGTTTACAGTGACAGAGGGGCATCATCTTGTTCTTCTGGTCTCATGATCATGTAAGCTGTGGGTCATGTGGTCCACTAGGTCCATATATCTGTGGTTTTCTTTATTCCTCTTTGCTCCAGATGAGGAGAGACCAATTGTTGCATTTCAGATGGCCACTTGAAAGTTTTTAAGATCCAGTTGCTACTCTGGTGGTGTAGCAGATAAGGCACTTGACTGCTAACTGAAGGTCAGTGGTTCAAACCACCAGCTGCTCTATGGAAGAAAGATGGGGCAATCTACTTCTGTAAAGATTTACAGCCTTGGAAACCCAATAGGAATCACTATGAGTCAAAAATGACTTGATGCTTGATGGCAGTGAGTTTGCTTTTGAGTTTAGTCACCACTCACTAAAGTAGGATGTAGAACAATGATTTTGTGTACAATTATTATGCCAATTGAGCTTGATGTCCCCCACAACCATGGTCCTGAGTCCATGGGCCCAACAACTTGCTCCCTCAGGGTGGCTGGCTGTGGCTAAGAAGTTACCATAACTTTGCCCCCATTAGCTCTATTACATACACACATACACACACACACACACACACACATATATATATAGAGAGAGAGACATTCTTATAGGACTTATAGGGAGCTCCAATAGCATAGTGCCTAAAGCACTTGACTGCTAACCAGAAGGCTAGAGGTTCAAACCCACCAACCACTCCTCAGAAGGAAGATTGGGCAATCTACTTTTATAGTGATACTTCTTTGGAAACCCAAGGAGGAGTCACTATGAGTCAGGGCCGACTCGACAGCATGTAACAGCAAGATAGCACTTACTAACATGTATGAGGAAATATCATCTGCCAAACTTACATATGGTCATATATTCCCCTTTGCCTAAACATACATGATCATTTAGCCTGTCTACTGATGTATCTACCCATAGATTAATGTTTGTTATCACTGAGAATGCAGTATTGTGTATGTAAAGGTTTTTTTATCTTTGTTGTCTGCCCTTCTTGTCTGTCTCTGTGCCTTCCTTTTCCTTAGTGTTATTGTGTTGGCCACTCACTTTTGGTATATTGCCTTTCCTTTCACCCAAATCAATACTTGTTTCTTACCTATCTAGCAATTTTCTTCCCATCCCCTCCCATTCCTGGTAACCAACAAAGAAATTTTCCTTCCATATTGCAAAAACAACAAGGAGGCCACATGTTCTGACCTCCTCTAATCCCACAAGAGGAAGACAGGATTACCAGCAGTAACCCAAGGCCTATT